CTACACAAATTTATAAATTAAACATATAATTTTAACACACCCCCTAGGCTTGGTAGTCGCAAGCCCACTCAACACGCAACACCCTGAAACCCGTGCACCCCCATGCCATGCATCAGGTGTGGCTTCGACCCCTCGTGCGAAGCGGCGACGGGTGACCGCCTCTTGAAGATAGAGTCCTTCGCGAACTGCAGAGCTTGCTACGACGAATCCTGCTTCGACTGATGAAAGTGCGATGACTTCCTGTTTCGTTGAGTTCCAGGATATGACACCGCCCGGTTCAAGTTTGAAGATGAACCCTGTACGCGAACGCCTGTTGTTGGGGTCAGCAGCATGATCCGCATCAACGTATCCAGTCAGTCGAAAATTCGCTGCAGTATTTGTCGAATAACCGAGACCAATTGTAGGATTAGAAATGAAATATTGGAGGGCTCGACGAAGATCGGCCATATTCTCCCCTTGAGGTCGACGCAGGTACTGTACGAGCTGACTCGTGATGTAGGCAAGATCTGGGCGACGTGTAATGGCTGCAAATAGGAGACACCCGAGCTGCTGCTGGTAAAGCTGATGCTCGGAGGCGGTAAGTGGGGTAGTATCAGGTGGGTGATCGGTCGAAATGTGACGAAATGGAGTGGTGAGGCTGATAGGAGCGATGGCAAACTGTTTCGCACGCGTTTTTGCGTACTTGTTTGCGGAAAAGTAGATAGCACCGGGGCCGCAGTCAACGGTTAACCCAAGAAATAGGGTGACGTTTGGAGAAATAGTCACTTCAAGAATCGTTTGGATTATTTTCTCCATGCACGCCAAAAGACTCTTGCACAAGCCGGTGTACAGTAAGTAGTCGACGTAGGCGAATAGGAGAATGTAATTCCCAAAACCTTCGAGTGTGTACATTCCATAATCGTGGGGCAGCTGCACGAGGTCGAGTGAAATCAACACTTTGTGAAGATGCTGCTGCCACATGCAATGGATCTCTTTGATGCCGTAGAGTGACTTAAGTAATTTGCAGATGTGAAGTCCATCGCCGTAAGTGTGAGGGAGTTCAACGAAAATATCTGCTTCGATGTCTGCGCATAAAAACACATTTTTAACGTCAAGTTGACGAAGAGGAAGGTGGCGGCTAGTAGCAATTGCGATAAGAATTCGAACTGAGGTATGACGGTTGACCGGAGCGAAAGTCTTGTCGTAATCGATGACGTGGGTTTGTTCGAAACCTCGAACGACCCATCTCTCCTTGAATCTGTCTGGTTCGCCCGCTGCATTTGTCTTTATGCGAAAGACCCACTTGCCCGAAAGAATTTTCTTGCCGCGTGCTGCTTTGCGTGGAACGAGTTTCCACGTTTTTCGCTTCTCAAGAGCTGTTACCTCTGCATCCATAGCTGCTCGCCATTTGTCAGCATTCGAGCCGGAGAGGGCCTCTTTTACTGTTTTCGACTCGATCTCAGTCGTTGGTTGCTGAACTGCGACAGCAAGTCCGAGGATGTGAAGAGCCGATTGGTCACCACGAGGATGAGGTTGGCAAACTTCGACAACATCATCGTCGTCAATTTCAGATGGCAGATGGCGGGCACCGTTATGTGATGCTGCGTCAGTTTTCTGTCAGCGCAGGTGCTCCTCATAATTATAGGCAGCCTGTGTCGTGGCAGAATGCAACGGGTATGAGAGGGGAATGAAGAGCGGTGTTTCGGTGTTGTTGGTACGTGTCGAAGGAATATAAGAGTCAAAAAGTGGTTCAGCTGCTGACGTAGACTGCTGCAGAACTGTAGAAGGTCCTGCTGTTGCGTTGTCAGGTGGATAATATTCTTCGGCTGCATCTGCTTCGTCTTGAGAAGTGGCGAAACTCCGTTCGGCACTGTAGCTATCAGGATCCCGCTGATGGCGTTCCTTGTCGCGTTCGAAGTCATCGAGAAATAGTTTATCGGAGAAGATGCAGTCTCGGTCATACAAAACCTTTCGGGTTTCGTAATCCATAATTATCCAGGAGTAGGAATCTTTGGACCATGCAGCCCCAAACTCGTAATAGTCGAGTGTCGGTAGGATATTTTGTCCACATGATATGTGGTGAGCTGAACTGAGAAGGAGCTGTCGAAGACAAGCAGTTGTGTAGGCAGACAGCTTGCACCATCGCAAACGGCCAGAATTCTATTGTCAAGCTCGACTGTTACAGCAACACGTGCATCTTCTCTTGTAGCGTCCTGTTAGTTCTCTCAACTACTCCATTCTGGTGATGAGCGTAAGGCACAGTCTTGCGCCTGAGGATCCCTTTCCGTGCCAGGAATTCATCGAATTGCTCGCTAGTATACTCGCCCGCGTTGTCTGTTTGGATCTCTTTCAGCTTGATGCTGCTCTGTCGCTCCACGGTTTTCAGCCATAGTTTGAAGGCGTCAAGAGCTTCAGACTTGAGAGAGATATTCTTGTGCAAGAAGTATCGAGTAGCACCGTCGATGGAGTTAATGATATAGCGAAAGTCGTTCTGCTGATATCTTGTGATTCCTACCCTGAGTACAGTATATCTTCTTGCGAGGAATAACCTAACCGCTTGTGCCAGATTTCTGCTGTAGTCCTGTGTCCCTTTTGTTGGAAATATCCCAAGGACTTAAGCGTTTCTGAAGTGTAACACTGTACTCGAGGAAGATTACAGGGGAGCACGCGAGTCAACGGAGGTTACACGAGGGGGCGGACAAAGAATGCGAAAGGACTCGAAAGGTCGCAACTGGAGGTTGCGACTGACCGTTACAACATCACGGATGGTAACCGAAGCGGCAATCGAGTCGCTGTGCGACTCGATAAACCGTTCCTGTAACTGTATTCTACAACTGCTTTCTTATCTTCTATATATTGCTGTATGCTTGTTTCTTTAATCAATCACTTGTTCTCACATACTAGTACAAGGGTTCAACTGCCTCAACTTCCGCTGCACTACTCCAAGTCTCAAGTCTCTACAGCTGGGACTTAGCCTCTGCAAAAGATCCTAAGGGCTTTTCTCAGCCCAACATGGTATGAGAGCTGGTCAGAGATCAAAACTCCCAGCAACTACACTCCATCAACAACCAGCAACTCAACTTGATTCAACAACTCCATTGATTACAAGACATGGACAACAAGGGCAAGAAAGTCTCTACGGGCTCACCCAGCGCCCAAGAAACTCAACACGGCAACTCTGGTCTGCACACCTCAGGACTGCAGACAGAGACCGGGACTACTCAAGAAACAACGGGAAGAGTACCAGAGATGGTGACTCCGTCTCCCTCTTCAAGTGTGGACCCGAATCTCATGGAGAGATTCTTCAGCTTCATGTCACACTTCGACCAGCAGCAGCAGACAAGGACACCTGCGCACTCAACACAGAGCAATGGAGGGAATATGGGATTAGCGCCGATGAGCCTCGACAACTCATCCTTCGGGCGACACAACCAAGCGCCTACCTTTGCGCCTTATCATTCTTCGCCGGGGACGTTCGAATTCATGCCGCCCCGTGCCCAGCCAACAGCAGCTGCTTCACAACAAACACCGAATGAAATCTTAAGTTTACAGGCGCAGTTCTCACACGTGATCAAACTTCAGACATCCTCACCGTTCAACGGACACGACTTCTTTACCTGGAGCTTCGAGTTTGAGCTGCTGATGGAGGCCGCGCATCTTCTGGGATACTTCAACGGGTCCCTGCCATTCCCAAGCAACGGCACTGGGAAGGAACAAGAGATCTTCACGTATCAGTCGCTGCTGGCGTACACGGTACTCCTGAGAAACCTGTCACCACAAGAGCAGCAGAGCATCAGAACGTATCGGAGTTATGGAAACTCCGCGGAGCTCGCATGGCACCACCTCAAATGCCTTTACCAAGCAAACGACAGCGTGACACAAAGCAGACTCATGCAACAGCTGACAACAATACAGATGAAGACCGGGGAAAAGGCGATGCAGTATATGAGTCGCTGCCAGACCCTCCGCGACCGCCTGCTTCGGTGCGGAGGAACGATCACTGAAGAAAGCTTCGTGACACTTGTCCTCGCCGGGCTCGGGCCAGAATGGAGAACCACACGATCACTTCTTCGAGCCCACGGAAGAATTTCGGAGATGCACCTCTGCGCCGAGCTTCACGCTGAACAACAGGAGATGGATCTGTTCGAGGAAAGACAACCAAGGAAGCAACAGCAGTTAGTCTTCTACACTCAAAGAAGAAATGACAACAACTACAACCGACGCAGCAAGCAAGATCAACGCGACAACCGAGGACTCACCATCGTGCCGCCGTTCTGCCACAACTGTCAGACTTCCGGGCACTCCAAGGTCAACTGCAACCGCCCTCGCGTTTACCGTGCAGCAGACCCACAAGTCGCTTCCACTCAAGCAAGTCCTCCAAGGCGCTCTTCAACATCTGCACAACAAACACCCAACATCATCAACTGCATGGTACACATCGACAACTGCGCACCCGCTTCACCACCCACTTACGCACCAGACGAAGAGGAATTCCCGCCGCCGCGCTCGCAAGGACTTCAGGTCAACCCGACATACGCTGCAGTCGCTAACGCCGAACCCACCGGGCGGAACACCTGGTTCTTGGACAGTTGCTGCGGTCAACACATGTGCTCCTCGGGACGCTTCGTGCAACAGGAGAAACGACTCAACCGCGACGTCGTCATCACAGTCGCCAACAACGAAAACCTGAAGACAAACAGACAAGGCGTGGTTCAGTTACAATCCATGGAAACAAACGTAATACTGCAGCTCAACAAAGTGCTCATTGTCGACAACCTGGGATACAATCTACTAAGCGTAAGCCAACTAATGGCCAAAGGGATTCACCTGGAGTGCGACTCTTACTCCAACGAGTTCCGGCTTTACCACGGGAAGGGCGGCCTCTTCATCGGTCGTGCCCTCCTGAAGTCCGGTGTCTTCGTGTTGGACTTCGTCCCCGACCGCGGAACTGCCGACAGCGATGGCATCGTATCGTTCGCCGCCTGGACTCACCCGCCGGATCTTGATCCCGACTTCGACAGTGACGGCTTCTGGCACTCCAACACCATACCTGCAGCAGAGAGAACACGAGCATTAGCAGTCATCAAACAAGAAAGACAAGTACCCGCAAGCGTCCCAACAAAACCATCACCTGCAGTATCGGCAGCAGGACCCAGCCGAGTACCACCACCAGCGACACGAGGACCGCCAACCGAAGCAGACCAACTTATGCCCGTCACACGAGAAGCCTGTCGAAGTCCCGCCTCGGTCGTCGCGTTCTTCTCCAACGCCGACATCTACCACCGCTCGCCCGGCCACCGCGCTCCCGACGACATCTGGCACCAACGTCTCGGACATCCTGCAAACAGCACGATACTTCAAACAATCCAAGCAGAGGTGTTAGAACGCAACGCCCTTCTGACGACGAACGGCCAGGAACTCCGACGACCACGCGCACGGTGTTTCACATGCCCCGAAGCAGATCTTCCTCATCAACCTTTCCCAGCCCATCACAATCCAAGCGCACCCACTTACGCTCCGATGGAAAAGGTCTACAGCGATATTCTAAACATGCCTCGAGACGACACCGAAGCCGACTTCAACTACGTCATCACGTTCATCGACGCCGCAACCAGATACGTCTGGCACTTCAATCTCAAAACGCGCGATCAAGCCTTCGAGGCCTTCACCACATGGCTTCCAATCGCCGAACGAGAGTCAGGAACCAAACTCAAGAGTTTCCAGTCAGACGGTGCACTGGAATACCAGTCACAACGCTTCAGGACCTATCTCGCGGAAAGGGGAATCCGACGCCTGGTGTCTCTGCCCTATGCTCACCAGCAGCAGGGGGTAGCAGAACGCATGAACCGGACCTTGCAGACGACGATGCGAAAACTACTTCTGGGGATGAGGCTGCCCAACGCACTGTGGCCAGACGCGATGACACATGCTGTTCACCTGCACAACCTGCTGTCCTCGTCATCACTTCCCAACAACGCATCGCCGCACCTGTTGTGGACAAGAAAAAGGGGCAGCACAAAATTACTCCGCGTTTTCGGCTGCATGGTACAGTACAGACCCCACACAGCCCGAGCAGGACGCTTCTCACAAAGAGCTCGATGGGGACTACACCTCGGCATCGCAAAACATTTTCACGCGTGGAAAATTCTCGACATACAAGACAAAAACACGGTGGCATCACGCGATGTTATCTTCTACGAACGACTGACGCTGCAGCATTACCTGGACAACCTTGCCAACACACAAGACCCCACCGACGGCTTCGCGGGCCTTCGCTCCTTCGCTGACCATACTGCCGAGGCTGACGCAGCAGAAGAAGACGTACCTGGAGCCTCGGAAGCTGCCGGACCACTCCCATTCTGTTCCGTACCTGTTCCACTCGATGAAGATAATCCCCTCGATAGCAACAACCTCGACACCTTTTACCACTTCGCCGACCAAGGTTACGCTACACCTCACCCCGTCGACACGAATATTTCGGAACGCATCGGCCCCAATTTCTTACCTGACCCTGAAGACGGTGACGAAGCAGCTTATTCCGGGAATGAAAATTCCCCTCGACACACGCCCACGGGACTCCAGATTCTAGGCCTCTGGGTCTCCGTCCAGAATCCGCCGCCGCCTTCTCCGCGAGAGCCTTCAACGTTGTCGCAGGCTCTGGGGGGGGAACATAAGGCAAGATGGAAGGAAGCAATGGAAAAGGAGTTAAAAGCTCTGCAAGACCGAGAAACATGGAAACTGGTACCTGCAACAAGCATCAACGGAAAAAACGTTCTCTCGGGGAAATGGGTGTACCGCATCAAGACCAACTCAGACGGTTCCATCGAACGATTCAAAGCTCGATGGGTCGTACGAGGCTTCGACCAACGATACGGAGCCGACTACACAGAAACCTTCGCTCCAGTCTCCCGTCACACCTCATTACGCATCCTACTCGCCGTCGCGGCCACGAAAAAACTGCCACTACGCCAAATCGATGTCGCGAATGCATTCCTATACGCACCTGTGGACGCTGAGATCTTCGTCGAACAACCCCACGGATTCATCAACGATCCCACGAAAATATGCCGACTGACAAAATCCCTATACGGGATTAAGCAAGCCCCGCGGCTCTGGCAGCAGCATCTCCACGGCCGTCTCGCAAAGATCGGCTTCCTACAATTACCGCATGACCAAGGGATGTACCGACTACAGAAGGGAAGAGATTATGTTCTGCTCATCGTCTACGTCGACGACCTGCTCTACATCGGCTCCACTATCGACATCGCCACCTGGTTCGAAGGGGAGCTGAAAGAAGATTTAACTCTCACGGTGTCCGACGAAGTTACCCAGTACCTAGGACTGAACATCGTCGAAGACGACACGGCGTTCTACCTACACGCTGGAAAGTACTCAAGCACCGTCGCGAAGAAATTCGGTCTAGCACCGACTGCGGTCCCAACTCCCTACCGCTATGGGAACAACAGTAGCGCCTCCACAAAACTCCCCGCGAAACAAATCCAGGAGTATCAACAGAAGCTCGGCTGCCTACTATTCGCAGCAGTAACCTGCCGACCCGACCTATCCTATAGTGCGAGTCAGCTGGCGACACATCTGAAGCAGCCGCAACAGGAAGATCTCGAAGAACTCAATCGAGCGCTACTCTACTTCGTCTCCACGCCGACGATCGGGCTCACCTACAGCAAGGCAACAACACCGTCCGTACAACTACTCGGATACGTCGACGCCGACCACGCGGGAGACAGCGAAAATCGACGGTCTAGGACGGGCTACATCTACCGACTAGAACCTATCGGAACTATCTCCTGGCAGTCGAGCAAGCAGGAGTTAATCGCACTATCCTCGGCTGAAGCAGAGTATATCGCCCTTTGTACTGCGACCAAGGAAGGACTCTACCTACGAGAGTTACTCGAAGAAGCGAAGATCGCGACCCTGCCCGCCTTCTCACTCCTCTGCGACAACCAATCTGCGATCAAAATCGCGAACAAGGACGGCTTCGCCAACCGAACCAAGCACATCGCCCTGCGGTACTTCTTCGTCAAGGATGAAATCGCGAAGGGGAGACTTCAACTCAGTTACTGCCCGACGACAGAAATGGCCGCAGATTATCTGACGAAGAAATTGGCGAAAGCAAAATTCGACTACTGCATGCTCCTAACCGGGCAAACAAACGTCACCGGATCTGAACACTCCAGCACTCCAGAAACGAAGGGGAGTGTTGGAAATATCCCAAGGACTTGAGCGTTTCTGAAGTGTAACACTGTACTCGAGGAAGATTACAGGGGAGCACGCGAGTCAACGGAGGTTACACGAGGGGGCGGACAAAGAATGCGAAAGGACTCGAAAGGTCGCAACTGGAGGTTGCGACTGACCGTTACAACATCACGGATGGTAACCGAAGCGGCAATCGAGTCGCTGTGCGACTCGATAAACCGTTCCTGTAACTGTATTCTACAACTGCTTTCTTATCTTCTATATATTGCTGTATGCTTGTTTCTTTAATCAATCACTTGTTCTCACATACTAGTACAAGGGTTCAACTGCCTCAACTTCCGCTGCACTACTCCAAGTCTCAAGTCTCTACAGCTGGGACTTAGCCTCTGCAAAAGATCCTAAGGGCTTTTCTCAGCCCAACACCTTTGAACGTAGGTACAAGTTGGAGTGAAGGAAGAAGGCTCGCGAAAGATGAATTGTTGGCGCAGGGTTAACGCAGCGGCCGGTGCCGAAAGGCTGGATGAACCCAGCTTCTTCGGCAGTTTCAACCCAAGGTATGCCGAGATGTCGGCGACGCGCCCAAGCATCAGGGCTTCAAATTTGAGCCCTGGAGACGACGAGTGCGCGGCGGAAGAATGGGGAGCAGGCCCGGGAAGGGCAACCAGCTCTGTTACCATGTTGAGATGAGCTAGCTAGGTAGGAGGAGCCATAGATGGCGAGAGGTTTTAGCTAGGAGAGGAAGTTGACGAGAGAAAAGAGGGTTGAGAATAGAAGAGAAAGGGATACAAGGAGGGGTGTTGTACCCTCTACAGTAAGTTTCAGTTACGCCTACCAAGCCTACAATTATATAACATATATATAATTGAACACTTGTATGGTATGGTACCAGTAGCAGATTTCAGTCGTAGAGAAGTGTTGTACGCGGAAAATCGGAAGGGCGGTGTGTTGAGCGCTGCACGCACAGCGAGCTGTTGTGAAAGCCAGCGTGCCACCGCTGTGAAGAGCGCCAGGCAGGGGGTGCAGCGGGCACGCTCTACCCCGGATCGAGGAGCGGCAGGCGGTACTGCAGGCTGATGGGCGAGTTGGCGTACTGGAAGATCATCAGCAGACACGCCTCGTTGGGCGCCACGCCTGCACGCACAGAGGGATACGGGGTGAATAGAAGGCACACCCCAGGCGTTTCGCAGCACATTAGGGGAAGAAAAAAAGCGAAAGAAAACAGCAAGAACGGAAAGAAGAGAAAGAAAACAAGAGGAAAGGGCAGGTGGAAACAGTCGAGGCCACGGACTGACCGCAGTAGGAGGCGTCGGGGCGGGTGAGGTAGCACTGCAGGCTGCGCGCCAGGTGCTTCAGACTCACGGACTGCACTTAGGAAAGCGGTTGGGAGGGGTGGGAGAGGGTGAAATGGAGGACAGGTGAGAGAGATGTTGGGGAGCCATGGGGGCCATGTGGGCAATGTGGGCCGTAGGTCAGCGACAGGGGCCACCCGGCCGATGGGGGCATCGGGGAGAGATGGTGAGATGGAAAAGGTATCTTACAGGCAACGTCCCGGGCCCGTACTCCATATCCAGTGCAGTGCACGCAGAAGGCTTGGCTGGGAGCCATGATAGGTATGAGTAGTGCAAGAAGTGGTGCTGGTGGTGCAACTTGTACGAGCAATGCAAACTGCCATAGTCTCACGTGCCGCACCTTGCCACCCACATGCCACCCACATGCCAAATTGCATGCCCCACATGGCGCATTGCATGCACGCGCAAGTTCCATATGCAGTCAATTGCTCACTAGTCCTCCAGCCTGGTTGCTGCTGCAGCACATCTGAAGAGGTCGCTCTTGTGCTGCACACGCACACGCCTCGCAGCCGTGGCGACGTCCCCACCTGCATTTCCCTATCACGACCCTTCCCTCAACACGCCCAGCCTCACCACCACCGTCGCATCGCCCGTGGCCTGCATCTGTCTCAGACGCGTCGACAGCCCCGAGATGTCCGCCTCTGCCTCCTCCTCCGACCCTCCGCCCTGCCTGCTGCCCGCCCCCGGGTCTGCCCCACTCTGCTGGCTCTCTGCTCGCAGTGTGCGGTGCAGTGAGGGTGTGAGGAGGGGTGAAGGACGGGGAAAGGAATTGGACAAAAAAACGCGCGGATGAATAGGACAGTGTGCTGACCACCATGAGGCATTGAAACGCAACAGGTTACAAAGTCTGTGGCGGCCATCACCCTACAATATTCGGCCTTGCCACCTCCCTCTTTCGACCAAAAGAGCTGCAAGTCTGATGAATGAGCGCCACGTTTGCCTCCCACGTTCCCTGTGCCCCCCCCCCCCCCTTCCCCCCTTCCCAAGCCTCCACCGCAATCGCATTGGCACCGAACACCCTCAAATTCCTGAACTCCGCAGCCGCGATGGAGGGCGCCTGCGTGCGCAAAGCTATGCCCCCTCAGTGGCACCCTCCTCCCCCCCATCCCCCAAAAAAGCCCGCACTCACACCCAACCCCATTTCCCCCCCCCCCACCCCCTGGCCTCTACCGCACCTGCATTGGCGCCGAACACCCTGAGGTTCCTGAACTGCGCAGCAATGCTGATGGAGGGCGTCTGCGTGCGCATGGCCAGCGCGCCACACCTCATGGTCGCCACGTCAGCCACGTCCCCCACGCTCTGCAGGCGCTCCATCAGCTGGCGCAGCGACGGCAGGTCCGGCAGCTGCACCAGGGTCTGAGGGGGGAGCGGCGGGAGGGGGGAGGGGGGAGAGCCGTGGGAAGAAGTTTCACGGAAGGCAATCCCTCACTGCACGCCCCCCACGCGCTGCCAGCACTCCATCAGCCGGCGCAGGGACGGCTGGTCTGGCGGCTGCACCAGGGGAGTTGCACACACTCTGCAGGGGAAAGAGAAAAGAAGAGAGAGGGAAGAACAGGGACGGGTGGTTCAAGGTGCACGCCCCCCACCAGCTGCGGCAGTTCCCTGAACGAATGATGCCCTGAGAGGCGAAGGGAGTGTGCAAGGCACGCAGAATGAAGGAGCGGGGCGGTGGTGGTGGAGGAGACGGGCGGTGGGGGGGCGTGGAAGAAGAGTGCGGCCGGGTGGGCCATGGCTTAGAGCAGCGTGTGCACGAAGTGAACAGGAGCCAATGGAAGTCAGCGCCTGCCCCACCTCTGGCAGTGTGTGCTCTCACCTCGGGCAAAGGAGCACGAGGTCGACAGGAGTCAACAGATTCAACCCCTGACTCATCTTTGGTAGCGAGCACACCAGGTTAACTGAAGTCAATGGTAGTCAACGCCTCACCCACCTCGGGCAGTGTGTGCACAAGGTCGATGCCGGCTTGCAACTCGTTGAGCTGCGAACGCGGCAGCGGCGACGAGATGGGGATGTCCTGCACGATGCTGGACCGCTCGCCCTGAGAGGCACGGGGACATGGGGGGCAGGAGGGGTGGGAAGAGAGCGAGGCAGAGGGGTGAGCCATTGCTGTAGGAGGCCGGCACCTGGTATCTGATTGAATGGGACGTTATGGAAGAGACAAAAAGTTGGAAAGCACAACGCAGAGCCGAAATGTACCAGAGAAACCACCGCCTCTCTGCACCCAGATTGTTCTTCGCATTCTCTGCACTCGCCCTCTTTCCACCCATGAGCTCTCAACATCGGCCCTGTGACCTCCTCTTAAACGCCGGCCACCTTTGCCCCAACAGAGGAAAATGGCCGGGGGGGTTTGCACGTGAGGTGCGGGGCGGGAGGGAGGGTGACCTTAGCTTCGAGTGAGAGGAAGGGCAGCGCGGGCGCGTTGGGGCTGCTGCTCTTCTTGACGAGCTTGAGCAGGTGGCGCGCCGCCCCCGTGGCGAGGGAGGAGCGCAGCGCGCGCGCCAGCAGCGAGAGGTCCAGCGAGAAGGCGATGCGGTCTGCACTGGCGCTGCTGATCAGATGCTCCGAAAACAGCTCCGCCTGGGGGACAACAGGGAGGGGGGGGGGGTTGGGGTTATGTGCGGGGGGGGAAGAATGCGGGATATGTGGATGGGGTAAAGGAATCAGGCGATGCGCCCTGCACTGGCGCTGCAAAGAAACAGCTCGGCCTGGAGGAAAGAAACAGCTCGGCCAGGGGGAAAGAAACAGCTCGGCCTGGGGGAAAGAAACAGCTCGGCCTGGGGGAGACGGAGAGAAGGTAGAAGGGAGGGGAGGAGAGATGGGTGAGGAATAGAAGAGATAGACGGCATGCAAGGAGGAAAAGCGAATGCAAGGGAAGAAAAGCACGAACGTGCAAAAACAAAAAGGCGTGTGGAGAATTGGAAGGGCCTAAAAGCGCAGAGGGCTCATGGCACGGGCTCTCACAGCCCGGCTGGATGGCACAGCGAGTACGTTATGAGGGTTTGCGTGTGGTAAAAAGACCCACGAGTGAGAGGCATTACGGTGGGGAACTGGGCGATGGCCTGCACGCCGTCAGCGGAGAGCATGTGGTGCATGAGGAAGAGGTCCGACGGCGTCAGGTACAAGTGGCACAGCTTGCCTATGCGCTCAAACGCTGGCAAGAACCCTGCAGGAGCAGTGCGGGGGCACGGCATGGGGAGTGGCATGGGGGGTGGTGGCATGGGGGGTGGTGGCATGGGGGGTGGTGGCATGGGGGGTGGTGGCATGGGGGGTGGTGGCATGGGGGGTGGTGGCATGGGGGGTGGTGGCATGGGGGTTGGTGGCATGGGGGGTGGTGGCATGGGGGGTGGTGGCATGGGGGGTGGTGGCATGGGGGGTGGTGGCATGGGGAGTGGCAAGGGGTGAAGGCGTGGGTTGCAATGAGCATGCGACCCAAGACTGTGCATAGCAGTGCTGATTGTTCCACGGAAACGAACCACAAACGAGAGATCGGGCTGGGTTTAGGGCTCCAACATGCGAGCAGCAGGGCAGAGGAGGACTCACGTTGCTCGAGGAGAATCACCCCGTCCGTGGTGAGAATCGCCTTGAACCGCATGCTCTCGCCTCCGCTCTCGCCTCTGCTCTCGCCTCTGCTCTCGCCTCTGCTCTCGCCTCTGCTCCCTGCTCTCACGCTGGTGCACTGGCGCCTGCTGCTATGCCTGCTGCACTCGCTGATTCCTGGCCAGCTTGACCTCTAAACGCCTGCCTGAGGATCTGATCTTGCTGCCGATGCTACAGTCCGCACCGCTGGCAGTCACTCTGCCGACAATTTATTGCGACACGCACACCATTTAGTGTCATCCCCAGACGTGCCACGATCCGTATCCCGTCCGCCGCGAGCTGTGCAACGCCGTGTGCGCCTTGCCTTCGGCTGCTGGCTGCGCTTATAGTATGTCACGTTTTTATGCCCGCTGGTGTCTACGTGTCGCCTGACAATACCTTGACGAGGAGCCGATGCGGATCTACAAGACTCGCAGGTGTTCAACGGTAGATTTGAACCCGCAAACTCGTATCCGTGTAGGGTTATATGCAGTGATGCACAATACAGCGTGTTTATAAACGGTGCGATGCGGTGACGCGTAAATTCTTCCAAGCCAAACCAGGTTTGTGGGAGCTGTACTGCGTCCAGAGGCAGCGTGCCGGTGACGCCAAAGCGCAAATGGTAGGGCGTTTTGGAGTCTCGAAGTTGGTTTTTAGCAAATCCAGCTTTTCCTGATCAAGCACTTCACTTCACTGTTCCGCGCGGAAAAGAATGAGAACTCAATCACTGTTTGCGGTCAGCGAATGGGCATTTTCTGCCGAAGGTTCCACGGGATGCCTGATGGAGAGGTATCGGGACGGATCTCGAAAACAGCTCCAGGGTTGTTTGCGAAATGAGACCCAGGGCCTGTCTCGCGACTGGCGCATCGTTCGTGAAAACGACCGCCAATCGCTCAATCAGGACGTTGCCAAAAAAAATGCATTTTCCCGCCTTCGTTCGACCTCGCGCACTTCGGGGTTTCAACTCGCTGGGGGTTGGGCGAGTTTGCTACAGTACCGGGAGCATGCGGGCAATCCGCAAGCAGCCAAGAAAAGCTGCCAGGCTGAAACCCTAAGCTGGAAACCTAAGCTGATGACCTACCAGACCTCCCTTGGCACATGTGGCAGCGAAGCTGTAAGCACTTTCCGCGGTATTTCCGAAGCCCCTTAAAACTCCCTGGCTGCGTTTATTGCTGACGCGTGGCGTCTCCAGCAAGCGCGATTCGACCCGAGCCCGCATTTCGTGTTTTCGTCAAGCCGTTATTTCTTCCGAGCCCGAGGCTTGAAATAGTTTAAAGGTGCGCCGGATTTGCGATCACGTCCACCGCGAGATGGTGGAGATGTCTTTCTGGCACGTTCTAGCTAGGTGCACGCTCCAATAGTGGTTCGCAACGCCGTTTAGCAAACTCCACATGATCATATGGAACTTATATCAAGTATCCCGACGTGTCAGGCCGTTCATCTGTGTCTTTCCGGCTGCCGTCTGTGTCGTCGTTTTCCGCGCGAAATCTCCATCTGTATGACACTAATGCAAGCGGCCAGCCTAGGCAGGCTTCCGAAACATACTTCTCAACCTCCGTTTCCTCCTCCCCTCTCCCCTCTCCCCTCTCCCCTCTCCCCTCTCCCCTCTCCCCTCTCCCCTCTCCCTTCTCCCCTCTCCCCTCTCCCCCCCTCAGCGTCATGACCCGCGCGCTTCTCCTCGAGCGCCTGCAGTCGCTCGCCGCGCAGCCGCCTCCCAGCCGGCCGCCCGCCAGACCGCCTAACCAGCCGGGCGCGGAAGGTGCGGAGAGGGCGGAGGCTGCCCGGGCAGGCGGTGAAGCGAGTGCACAGCGAGGTGGAGCAGGCGCAGCAGGGGGGGTGGCTGGCGGAGGGCGCGAGGGGGAGGGGCGGGCGGAGCAGCAGCGCGGGGGCGCGCGGCTGGAGTCAGTGCTGGCCGCCAACCCCCTCGTCGCCCTGCCCGCGCGCCCCGAGCCCTCCCTGCCGCCCTACCTCTTCCCCTCGCCCGCTAGCCACCCGCCTGCCCTGGGTCTGCTCGCGCTCCCCGTGCCCACCACTCAAGATGCTGCTCTGACGCGCAATAACGCGCTGGCAGGAGCAGGCACTGGCACGGGCACAGGCTCGGGCACGGGCACGGGCATGGGCAGGGGCGCAGGCATGGGCATGGGCGCAGGCATGGGCTCAGGCATGGGCGCAGGCATGGGGGCAGGCACGGGCACAGGCACAGGCATGGGGACAGGCATGCGCACAGGCAGGGGCACGAGCACATGGCAGGCAGCGAACGCGCGCAAGGAGCGCGTGGAGCGGCCTCTGTGGACCAACGAGCAGACGACAGCGCTGCTGAAAATCATCAGCAAGACGCTGCGGGCGCAGGGCAGGCGGCTGTCCGCCACAGTGACCAACTGGCCGCACGTGCACCGCGAGTGGCTGCGCCTGGGCTTCCCGCGCTACTCCGAGAGCCAGCTGCAGATGCGGTGCAAAGTGGTGCGCGCGTGGGAGAAGGACATCCGCTTCCTGCAGGCGCAGCTGCCGCCTGACGTCTCCTGGGACCCCGTCACGCAGTTCTTCAACCCGGACCCCAAGGTGTGCGGCACAACTCGCTTGTTCAACCCCGACCCCAAAATGCGCTCTGCCACGATCCTCTTGGCGTGGAACTGTATCGCGCCAGCCCACTCACTGCGAAGCCCCTCACGCCTTCCCTCTCCCTCCTTTTATTTCCCCAAACCCCCACTCTTCCCCCCCCTGCTCCCCCTTCCTCTCCTCCCACCTCCCTTCCCCGGGCGTCAGCTGGGCATCATTCCGCGGCTGAGGCAGCACCGCAAGTGGCGCCGCTACCAGCGCTGGACGAAGCACCTGGCGCCGTGGCTGCCCCTGGCGCGCGCCATGTCGCGCAAGTCCCGCGCCGAGGCGATGCGCGATGAGGCGGAGTGGGAGGAGGAGGGGTGGGAGGAGGAGGAGGTGGAGGAGGAGGACGAGTGGGACGAGGTCGGGGAAGAGTGGGAGGAAGAGGGGGAGGAGGAGGAGGAGAACGGGGAGGAGGAGGATGATGACGTGGTGGAAGTGGATGCAGTGGGCGAGGCGAGTGGGGAGGAGGGCGAGGAGGACGTTGAGGAGGTGGCGGGGGAGGACGTGCAGGGGGGAGAGGTGTGGGGTGATGGGGGGCGGCAGGGGGGCGGAGCAAGGAGGTTGAGGGGTGGGGAAGGAGGGAATGCACGGAGGCAGAGCGGCAGGGGAGGAGTGGAGGTGCGCGGGTATGCAGAGCGCTGGAGTGATGAAGAGTGGGACGAAGATGAGTGGGAAGCGGGGAGGGGGGATGAAGGGCGACAGGCGGGTGACGGAGGGGGCATGCGCTTGAGGAGCAGCAGGGGGCGGAGAGTAGAAGCGGGAGGGAGAGGGGCTGGGGCTGGTAGGGGTGGTGATGCACAGGTGGATGGCGGGGGGGCGGATCGTCCAGCTGCCCCACCCCGTGCCAATGGCATACCTCCTGCGGATGTGGCACGTGACAATGTAACTCTTGCTGACATCGCTCGTGCTGACATGGCACGTGCTGCTGACATGGCTCGTGCTGACATGGCACGTGCTGCTGACATGGCACGTGCTGACGTGGCATGTGCTGATGGGGTGGCGGGTGCGGCCGCAGAGGACATGGACGAGTACCCTGCCAGGCTGGCAGCGCGCATTGCCGACATGGTGGCGAGCAGGCGGGAGCAAGGCGCCACAGAGAGGATTGTGGTGGAGGGCGAGGGGGGGGGAGGCGGGGAGGCAGGGGCGAATGGGGATGGCAGCGGGGAAGGGGGGGATGGAGGTGGGAATGAGGGATGGGAGCGGGGTGGTAACCGAGGGGGGGATGCAGCTGGTAATGCAAGACGGGAGGAGGGGGTTGCGGAGGGTCAGAGTTTAGGAGAAGAGAGGCGGGAGAGGGGGCGGGAGGAGGAGGGGAGTGGGGCGAGGGGCGTGAAGCGGTCGCGGCCGCTATGGGCGCACGTGAGGGAGAGGAAGCGGCAGCGGCGGCTGGTGGAGAGTGTGGCGCGCGCTCTGACCACGTTCAAGAGCATGGCGGAGAAGGGGCAGCCGCACGTGCACCGAGGTATGGGAGGGCACACGTGCACCGAGGTATGGCAGGCAGCCGCACGTGCCAAGAGGTACGTGCACCGAGGTACGTGCACCGAGGTATGTGCATACGTGCACAGAGGTATGGGCAGCCACACGTGCCAAGAGGAATGGGAAGGCACATGTGCAAATGCGTTTCCTTCCGATTTCCCCCATATTCCCCTGCTGACCCTCTGGCGCCACGGCCCCACCCCCTGTCCGCCGCATGCCCTCACACGCGGTGGCGGACCGCGTGTTCCAGTCCAGGCGCTGCACCATTCTGACGCCCTCCCACCTTGCCCGCCCCACCATAAGCACACACGGTGGCGGATAGCATGTTGCAGTCGGTGCGGGACGTGCAGGTGCTGCCAATGATTCCCTGCTGACCCCCTCCCACCTTGCCCCTACCTGCTGACCCCCTCCCACCTTGCCCCTACCTGCTGACCCCCTCCTACCTTGCCCCTACCTGCTGACCCCCTCCCACCTTGCCCCTACCTGCTGACCCCCTCCCACCTTGCCCCTACCTGCTGACCCCCTCCCACCCGCCCCCTGCCTGGCAGACGCGGTGGCGGACAGTGTGTTCCAGTGGTTACCCATTCTGAATCCCTCCCACCTCCCCCTACCCGCCCCGTGCCCACAGACGCAGTGGCGGACAGTGTGTTCCAGTCGGTGCGGGACGTGCAGGCGCTGCCTTTGCTGTCAGAGGCGCAGCGCATGGCGGCCATCGAGGCCTTCCTGCACCGCCCCATCGAGGCCCACGCCTTCCAGGCCATGGCGCCCGCGCTGCGCATGCTGTACGTGCTGCGCGCCCACGCGCAGTTCGTCGACACCCAGCTTGCCCGCATCCAGGCCGCCGCTGCTGCCGGTGGGCAGGGCAGCGGAGGGGGGGGGGGCGCAGGGGGGATGGGAGGATTTGGGGTTAATGGGGGGATGGGTGGAACAGGGGGGGTGGGTGGAGGGGGATGCGTGGGGCCAATGGCTGTGGGGGGTACAGGCATGGGGCCAATGGCTATGGGCATGGGGCCGATGGGCTTCGGTGGAAGTGGAATGGGGGGGATGGGAACAGGGGGAACGGGCATGGGGGGCGCAGGGATGGGGACGATGGGAATGGGGGGAACAGGCATGGGGGGAGCGGGAATGGGGGGAACAAGGATGGGGGAAACAAGAATGGGGGGAACGGGCATGGGGGGAATGGGAATTGGTGGATCAGGAATGGTGGGGACGCGGATGGGGGAAACAGGAGTAAGGGGAGCGCGGATGGGGGAAACCGGATTTGGTTGGAGGGGATTGGTAACAATGGGGCAAACGGGAGCGGGGGGCGGGACGGCCGGAGATGCGGGTGGTGAGGGCGTGGGTGTGGGATTGGCAGCAGCAGCTGTAGCAGCAACAGCAGCAGCCCCCACAGGAGCAGGAGGAGCAGGAGGAGCAGGAGGAGCGGGGGGAGCAGGAGGAAGAGGCGCGGCAGGAGCGGCAGGAGGGACAGTGGGAGCAGCAGGAGTGGCAGGAGGGGCAGCAGGGGCGGGAGGAGCAGGAGGCGTGGGGGGAATGGACGCCTTCGGAGGTTTGGGAGGGCTGGGGTTGCTGGGTCTGTTGGGGGCAGTAGGGGGATTAGGGGGAATAGGGGGACTGGGCGGACTAGGGGGAATAGGGGGACTGGGAGGTATAGAGGGACTGGGGGGAATAGGGGGACTAGGGGGAACGGCACAAGGGTCACAAGTAGCCGCAGCAGCAGCAGCAGCACCACCAGCAGCAGCACGAGCACCAGCAGCACCAGCAGCACCACCAGTACCACCAGCAGAAGTGGTGGCAAGAGGCATGGCACCAATGAGTGGCGCGGCAGGGGGTGGCACAGCTGGGTTGGGCGGCACAGCTGCGTTGGGCGGCACAGACGGATTGTCTTTGTTGGGTCGGAGGGTGCAGGAGCTGCTGAGAGAAAGCCTGGGGGCAGTCAATGCAGGCCAACAAGCAGCTATTGCTGGTCAACAGGCAGTCAACACAGGTCAACAAGCAGCTATTGCTGGTCAACAGGCAGTCAACACAGGTCAAGGGGCAGTCAATGCAGGTCAAGGTACAGCCAATCGGGGTCAAGCTTCAGTGATTACACGTCAGGGCGCTGTGACTGCAGGTCAAAGGGCAGTCAACATGCTTCAAGTGCCAGTCAACCCAGGTCAAGAAGCAGTCAATGCTGGTCAACAGCCAGTCAATGCTGGTCAACGGCTAGTCAATGCTGGTCAACAGGCGGTCAATGCTGGACGACAGGCGGTCAATGCTGGTCAACAGGCGGTCAATGCTGGACGACAGGCGGTCAATGCTGGTCGACAGGCAGTCAATGCTGGTCAGCAGCCAGTCAATGCTGGTCAACAGGCGGTCAACGCAGGTCAACAGGCGGTCAACGCAGGTCAAGGGGCAGTCAGCATGCGCCAAGCAGCAGTAAATGCTGCTCCATGGGAAGGGGCGGGTGCAGGTGACACAGGTCAATGGGGCCAGGGGGGCCAAGGGGGCCAGGGGGGACAATGGGGGCAAGCTGCAATGGCTGGTGGCCAGCCAGTGTTTGTTCTAAGGCGTGTGGAGAGACCTGCTGCACAACAGACAAACAATGCTGCCCATGGAGCAAGTGCTACGGGTGAAGGGGCAGTCAACGGGGTTCATTGGGGTGTGGCGGCGAGCCCAGCGCCTGTGAACGTGAGTCAGTGCGAGTGCCGGGACTGCATGGCGGCCAGGGAGGCCGTGCGAACGCAGCAGGTGCTGGTGGACGCGCGGCTGGATGCTGTCAACGAGTGCCAAGCTGCAGTCAACGCGGGTCAAGCAGCAGTCAACACGGGTCAAACTGTGGTACAGACAAGCAATGCTGGTCAAGCACCCCCCAATGCAGCTGCAGGGGCGGTGGGTGCGGGGGAGGGCAGATCAGGTGGGGGAGGCGGCGGGTGGAGAGAAGCTTCTCTCGCAGGGCATTCTCTGCTGGGGAGTCCGCTTCAAGGCGGGGGGTCGGGGCAGGTTGGCACACGGAGTGGGGGGCAGAATGGGGGGGAGAATGCAGGGCAGAGGAGGGGGGATGGGGGAGGAGGGGGGTGGAGGGAGGCAGCACTCGTGGGCCTTCCTCTCTTGGGGAGGCCGCTTCAGGGGGACGGTGAGGGGCAGAGGGGGGGGCAGAATGGTGAGCGCAGCGGGGCGCCAGCAGGGAATGCTGGTGAGGCAGCAGGTGGTGCAGGTGGAGGGGGCATCAGCAACGGCAATGGGGGGTTCTTCACACTGTCGCACCGCTGCATCGCGGACAGGGCTACGGGGCGGTGCAGTCTGTGCAGCATCGTGACGGACCTCGTCAAGGAGCTGGGGGGCACCGCGGGCGAGGGGGGTGCTGGAGGAGAGGCAGGCCGGACGGCAGGGGAGGGAGGGGGGAATGCTGGCGAAGAGATGGGTGGGGTGGGTGCGGTGAGAGAGGTGGGGCCAGTGGAGGGTGGTGCAGGGAGGGGGAATGACGGTCAAGGGACGAGAACTGGTGGCCCAGAGGCGGCGAATGGAGGTCAACGGGCGGCTTTGAGTGGCGATGATGATCTGAGCTCAGGGGAGCATCTGAGTGCGGCGTGGGGAATGAGTGACAGGGAGGAGGAGAGTGACAGGGAGGAGCAGAGTGAAAGGGAGGAGTTGAGTGAGGGAAGAGGGATTGTGTGTGTGAGGGACGAAGCGATTGAGCTTTCAGATGGAGAGATAAGTGCGGGAGAGGGCGATGCGATCGATTGGGAGGGAGACTTGACCATGGGGGGAGGGGAGACGGCTGCTGGGGAAGGAGACGTGACTATGGGGAATAGAGAAATGGGTGCAGCGGAAGGAGCAATGAGTGGGGAAGGGGCAATCACTCAGAAGGAAAAGGGAGGAAAAAAGGCTGGGGGAGAAGCAGATGGAGACGCTACTGTGGAGGAGAGAGACACGGATGCAGGGGAAGCAGAGACAGAGGCAGGGGAAGCAGAGACAGAGGCAGGGGAAGCAGAGACAGAGGCAGGGGAAGCAGAGAAGAGAGCAGGAGAAGCAGACAAAAGCGCAGGGGAAGCAGACGAGAGTACAGGGGAAGCAGACAAGAGTGCAGGAGAAGCAGACAAGAGCGCAGGGGAAGCAGACACGAGTGCAGGGGAAACAGACAAGAGTGCAGGGGAAGCAGACACAGTCTCGCCAGAGGAAGCAGACGAGACTGCGAAGGTGACAGCCACAATCGCAGGGGAAGCAGGTCAGAGAGCAGGGGAAGCAGGTCAGAGAGCAGGGGAAGCAGGTCAGAGAGCAGGGGAAGCAGGTCAGAGAGCAGGGGAAGCAGGTCAGAGAGCAGGGGAAGCAGGTCAGAGAGCAGGGGAAGCAGGGAAGAGAGCAGGGGAAGCAGGGAAGAGAGCAGGGGAAGGAAACACCAGTGCAGAGGAAGCAGACACAAATGCAGAGGAACGAGACAAGAGTGCAGGGGAAACAGTTGTGGCTGCAGAGGAAGCAGGGACAGCTGCAGCGAAAGCACATAAGGCGGCAGAGGAAGCAGACACAAGAGCAAGGGATTCAGACACGACTGCAGCGGAGACAGACAAGGCTGCAGGGGAGGCAGACAAGAGTGGAGGGGGAGCAGATAAGAGTGCTAAGGAGGCAGACACAAGTGCTGAGAACGCAGACACGACTGCAGAGGACGCAGACAGAAGTGCAGGGGAGGCAGACAAGGCTGCAGGGGAAGCAGACGAGAGTGGAGGGGAAGCAGATATGACTGCAGGGGATGCAGACAAGGGTGCAGGGGAGGGAGACGAAAATGCAGGGTTGGCAGACACGAGTGCAGGGGTTGCAGACAGCGCTGCAGCTGAAGGAGAACCCGAGGATAGCGCAGGTCGCGCAGGCCAAGAGGAGACAGAGGAGTTGGGTGTGGAACAAGATTCAGGGATGGCGGGGTCCGGACGTCTGGGGGAACAAGGCGAGTGCAGTAGGTGAAGATCGTGACATGTACAGAATGATTGTGGATTCCATGAGTTTTGTGCACCTCCGCAGCACAAGATCATACCAGATTCCCATGGATTTACGCCCCTGTGTTAGACCAATAGGTCCTATCTCGTGATAGCCATGCTTCGAATTGAGAAAGCTTGCTTTCTTGTTGTGGCAACGTGCTTCATTTCAATTGGGTTAAAACAACGAGAAATGGTTGGACAATCTTGGATTGAGTGCAGCCTATGGATCTGTGGCTGAGATTTTGTCCTTGTAGAGTGCTTGCAGCACAGCGGAAGCTTTAGTTGAATCGTTGCACTGGTGTGTGTGTGAGAACGAGTGATTGATTAAAACAAGGAGCATACAGGAATCTATAGAAAGTACAGTAGCAGCTGCATTATCAAGGCGCACAGCGCCTCGTTATTCTAGACAAGCAGTTACTGTTCAGCTGAACTTTCGCGTGACTTGTCTTCAGCTGAAGTGTCAGTTGACGATCTCAACTGACGGCGAGTACTGTATCAAGGTTGACTTGTCTGTACTCGATGTTGCTGCATTCGCGTGTTATACAGTGCTCGATACTCCTGGAATGCTGAAGTCTGAACTTCCTCATTTCCACCACTCCCCTTGATTCCTAGAGTGTCGAGGTTGTCAACATATAATTGTATATGTTATAGGCTAGATAGGTGCATGCTTATAGAGAGTACAACACCTTAGGTTATATTCCCCGAGCGTCCCCGCTTTACCACTGTAGCGAACGCCAATGACTACTTAGATGCTGTCATCGCACGTTATTCCACCCCCGTCTTAGCTTTTGCAGGCCGCCTCATCCTCCTCATGCTGTTCCTTGACCTTGCGTCCTTCCCCACTGTCGCTGACCTTGCCACGCACCTCCGCGCACTGGAGACTAGCTACCGCGTCGCTAGCACAGAGGCACAGCTCACTGCCTTCCCATCGCAGCACTGCGCTACCCTTTACCTAATTGCCATGTGCCTGCCTGACCGTCTAGCCACTGCCCGCGACCACTTTCTTAGTCAGCACCCTGCGACCTTACCCTCCCTGCCTTTGTCACCGCCCTGTCCGCGATAGAGACCCGCTAGTGCACTATTGCTCAGTCTAGCGGTACTGAGCCGGTCCCTATCTTCCAGGGCTGTGCTCCCTCCCAGTGCACTTACTCATACGTTTCTGCCGCCGTTGCTGAGACAACCCCTGCTACTGAGACCGCCACCGTGGCCTCAGCGCAGCAGTGTTAGAGTAGGGGCCGCCGCCCCAAGGCGGGGCGTGGCGGAGGGAAGGGTGGTGGGAGTGGTGGGGGTGGTGGAGGTGGGGGCGGGGACGGTGGTGCAGACGAGGGGACCGGGGCTGGTGCCCCGGAGCAGCAGCAGCAGCCTTAACAGCAGCAGCAGCAACAGCAGCCTCAGCAGCAGCACCACCAGCCGCCAAGGGGACCCCCACCGCCATGGTGGCCTGGTGGCACTGGTGGTGGTGGTCGGGATGGTGTCCCGCACAGCTCAGTGTCAGGTGGCGGCTCCAGTGTGACCATCTACTAGTACCACCTTCAGACCAGTCCCCGCCGCGGCACCGTCTGCGACTGTCCATGTCACATCGCCACCCGCTGCTACCGCCGCCTCGACGACCTCTACCGTCTCCGCTTTGGTCCCACCTCGGACCCTCCTGACTGGTACTTACTGGCCCGCCGTCGTGTGCCAGTTTTTTAGCTTGACATGGATCAGATTAGGACTACTAGGTACTGTATGTCATGTATGCTGATGACTCTAGTGTGACTGGATCTTATTACCGTATTCCCCCGTATAAAGCACCCTAGGGTGGTAACCAAAATGCCTCTCAATTTTGAGGAGGGTGTAATTAGAGGCTAATTTTGTATAACGCCTGGGTGTTGTGGAACATGCGTATGTGATATTGTTTTTCCTAAACAAAGTGCACAGTCGTACTCTGCTGTATTTTGTTTTCCCCCTCGACATCGCGTACGGAAGTGGGAAACGCAAAACAACCAATCCGTAGGAGGCATGGCACGATTTTCTTGGCGGGAAGGTGAGCGCGACCCGAAAGTCAACTAGAAAACACCGAGTTTTGAGGATTCTAGGGAAGGGACACACAAGTTCGGGCAGTCAAAATGGGTCTCGAAATTTTCTGTGTCGTACCCCTTGAACCGCGTTGTATAGGTTCCTTGATAAGTTTCCCACTCGCTCTCACGCTCAGGTGATGGCATAGCAGCAGTGGTTGGAAAAGAGGGTAGCGCTCGTCTATGCTACTCAAAAGCGAGGTTGAAGGTTTCGGGGGGGTGTTCAAATATTTGGAGGCAAAAAAGACGGGTGTTATGTATATCCAGTTTAACTAAACACCCATGTCCGCTCAAGCCACCCATGGGCGTTCAATTTTGCGGGGTGCTGTATACAAGGGAATACGGTACCCTGTGTTATCTATTATAGGTGTGCCTCCCGTGTGTAGTCTAGGTTCCCCTGCTACGTCAGGCGTAGGACCTCCTGCCTTGTTTAGCTTAGGCTCTACGCTAGCCCCTCCGCCAGCCGCCGCTAGGGCAGACGCTACTGATTCGCTCTCCTTCACGCTCGACTCTGGAGCGTCTGCATGCTTCTTCCGTGACCACACCTCTCTCACGCCGCTTGCTGCCCCCGCCGCTTACTGCCTCTGCCGATGTAGCGCTTGCTGACCCCTCCTCAGGTTCGGTAGTCGCACTTAGCCCCACTACTCTTCCCTGCCCGGCGGTCCTCTCGGGCTCTCTTAGAGGCTTGCACATCCTCTCGTTCTCCAAGAACCTAGTTGGTTTCGGCTGTCTTCAGGACCTTGGCGTCACCACTACGTTCCCTGGACACGAGCGGTACGCTGTCTGTACCGAGGCCGCCACTGGTGCCCCTCTTACCACGCTCTCCTGGGACCCCGTGTCTAGCCTGTTCATGCTTTACACTGCGTCCCCCCTGGTGGGAGCGCCCCCCCAGGTCGACGCGTCCTCTCAGGTAGCTGCAGCCTGCTTGTGTCGGTCGCTCACCCACCCTTCACTACTGTGGCACCACCGCCTAGGTCACCCTGCTCTCCCGCGTCTGCGTCACATGTCTCATCACGGGTTTGTCCGTAGTCTCCCTGCGTCGCTCCCTGCCCTCCCACCCTCGCCTGCGCCGCCATGCACGCCCTACGTCGAGGGCCGGCTGCACCGTGCTCCCCACTCCTCCTCGCTCCCCCCTGCAACTGCGCCACTCCAGACCCTGCACCTGGACGTTTGGGGTCCCGCCCCTGTCCCTGGGCCGTGTCGCGAGCGCTACTTTCTAGTGCTTGTTGACAACTTTACGCGCTACACCACGGTGTTTCCTCTGGAGCGGTAGTCTGACGTACCTGACGTTCTTATCTCTTAGGTCGTAGCTGCGTGAGTCCACCGCGGCCTCCCCGTGCCGCGTTTCCACTCCGACCGTGGCGGCGAGTTCGCGTCCGGTCGGCTCAGCCAGTTCTGTCGTGCGGAGGGCATTACCTAGTCGTATACCCTGCTAGGATCCCTGCAGTAGAATGAGGTCGCTGAGCGACGCATCGGTTTGGTCATGGAGGTGGCTTGTGCCTCCATGATCCATGCCGGTGCACCCCATTTTCTGTGGTCGTTCGCCGTTCGCTATGCCGCTCACTGGCTTAACCTGTGGCCACACTTACTGCGGCCGCAGGCTTCACCGACACTCCTCTGGACCGGGTTCCCTGGTGACGTGTCTGAGTTCCACGTCTGGGGCTGCCTTGCTCACATTCATGCCTCTACCATGGACAAGCTCACTGCCCGCATTGTCCCCTGTGTCTTCCCTGGCTCCCCCCTCGACGCGTCTGACTGAAACTTTTACCACCCGCGGTCATCGCTTCGTTCACTCGCGTGACGTCACTTTTGACGAGTTTGTCTCCTTCTACCACGGCTTTCCCCACTGAGGTCTCCTAGTTTCCCTGCCCCTGTTTCTGGTTCCCACTCCCCCGGTAGCCCCTGCTCCTCTCCCTCCCCATCCAGCCCCATTTGGTGTGTCTCACATCCCTCCCCTCCCGTCGGTTGTCCCGATCGAGGAGTCAACAGACTCTGGTGGCCCTACGACGCCATTCTTGCCTCCTGTCTTCGCCTCGGTGTCTCCTCCTCTGCCGTCGCAGCAGCCGCCGCCGTCGCCCCCGCAACAGCAGCTGCAGACGCCGCCGCCACAGCAGCAGTCGCCGCAGGGGTCCGCGAGCTCTGGGGGTGCGGGCGTTGAGGAGGGTGCACGTCCTACAGTTCCTGACGTGGCTTGTCCCGGTGGTCCTGGGAGTGGCACCGGTGCTGGAGAGGGTTCTCGTTCTGGGGGTGTTGGTTCCGGGGGTGCTAGTCCTTGGGTTACTGTCGTGGCTCGTCCCGGCGGTGCAAGGGGTGGCACCGGTATTGGAGAGGGTTCTCGCTCTGGGGGTGTTGGCGTGGAGTGTCGCGGAGATAGCCGTGGTGCAGGTGGAGGTTCTGGTGTTGGTACGGAGCAGCAGCAGCAGCAGCAGTCGCCGCTGGTTTCCGCCCTTCGCCTCCTCTGTCTTCCCTCCTCTGACCACCCGCCTGAGCCTTCGCCGCCGCCGCCTCCCCTGCCTATCTATGGCCCTGTGTTTCCCCCGCCGGACTCATCTCCGGCTTGTTTCCCCCCTCGTTCTCCTCCTGTGTCTCCTCCTGTGTCTCTTGACCCAAAGCCTCCGTCCCACTTCTGGTCTCGCTGTCTGTCTTATGCTCGTTCTGCCTCTCCTGTTCAACGCTCTCACCCTTAGTTGCTGCGTTCCCACACGTCTCGTCCTCCCCTCCTCCTGTCACCTTCTCCATCGTCGCTTGTTGTTGCTTTGCCTCCTCTGTCTGACTTCCTTCGTGCCACTAGTCCTCTTGTTCCTCGAGTCCTTGCCTCCCTCGTTACCTACCCGTCTGTTTCTGTCTCGAGTCTTGACGCGCTTGTCGCTGCCGTCACTGACTTCGCCTCTACCCACTGCCTTGACTACGCCACCGCTCTGGTCTTTGACCCTGCCCGTCCTCCGTCCATCGGGGTTGCTCCTCCCCTAGGCAGTGACGACCTGGAGGAGCAGCATTACGAGCTCGCTTTCTTGTCTGAGGCCGCTCCTCATCTCTGCTCCATGCTTCTAGTCCTTGTAGGTGACCCAGACGCCTTTGACATCCCGACCCTTCGCACTTACACTGAGGCGACCTCGGGACCCTGGGCCTCTCAGTGGATAGCTTCCATGGACGCGGAGATGGCATCTTGGAGATCCACCGGCACCTACGTCGACGCAGTTCCCCCATCCAAGGTGAACGTAGTCGATGGTCGATGGCTCTCCCGTAGAGCCGCCTGTGTTCAAGGCATGCTTCGTGGCTAGAGGATTGAGATAGCGCAAGGGTGTTGACTACTTTCATACCTTCGCCCCAACCCCGAAGATGACTACTCCTCGGTCCCTCCTACACGTAGCACCACAGCGTGACTTCGAGCTGCACTCTCTTGACTTCTCCACAGCGTTTCTCTAGGGCAGTCTGCACGAGCAGGTCTACCAGCGTCATCAGCCCGGCTTCACCAGCACCTTCACCTCCGGTACCGAGTGGCTCCTCCGGCGCCCGATTTACGGCCTAAGGCAGGCACCCCCTAAGTGGCACGACATGCTGCGTGCTACGTTAGGTAACCTGCAGTTCTTCCCATCATCTGTAGACCCTTCGCTCTTCGTTCGTGCTGGCCAGACCCCATTCTACATCATTGTCTATGTAGAAGACTTGTTCGTCTCTACTGTAGACAGAGACGCACTCGCCTTCGTGAAGGCTGAGCTACTGAGGAAACACACCTGCACTAACCTAGGAGAGCTGTGCCACTACCTTGGCCTGCAGATCTCCAGGGACAGAGCAGCGCGCACCATCACTCTTACACAGTCACAGTTGGTGCGCCAGGTCGTTCATAGGTTCGGTCTTCAGTTCTCCTCCGCATAGCCCACACCTCTACCTGAGGAGTCTGTAGAGTCTAGTGGTCCTTACGCAGAGCTGGTGGGTTGCCTCATGTATGTGATGAATTGCACTCGCCCGGATCTTGCATACCCTCTCAGCATCCTAGCTCGCTTTGTGGCCAAAGTCAGACACCGACCACAGCACTGGTTGGCCACTAACAGGGTTTTGCGTTATCTAGCAAGTACATCGGGCATGGAGCTAGTACTGGGAGGACGCATGCCAGTGCTCCTTACAAGGCACACAGACGCTTCATGGGCAGACAACGCTAAGATGCTTAGGTCCTCCCAAGGCTACTGTTTTAGCCTTGGTGCAGGTGCCATCTCATGGAGGTCCACTTGCTAGTCGTCTGTGGCCTACTCTAGCTGTGAGGCTGAGATCTACGCCGGTGCCATGGCGGCACAGGAGCTCTGCTGGCTGACCTTCTTGCTCACTGACTTAGGTGAGCGGCCTAGCTGTGCCCCGGTCCTGTACGCTGATAACAATGCCATGATCCTCCTGTGTCGGGAGCCTCGACTGGAGGGCAGAGCGAAGCATATCGAGCTGCGTTACTTCCTCATGCACGAGCTACAGCAGTGCCGCCAGGCCCGCGTAGTACACTTGGCCTCCGGTGCCAACACAACTGATATCTTTACGAAGGCACTTGTGCCCAAAGATCATCAGCGGCACTGTGTACAGCTTGGTCTAGTTCCTGTAGCTTCTCACTTGCTAGGACCTTGATTGTGTACTACTCCATATATTATCTTGACTGGCCTTGTGGCTCCTGTTCCAGTGGCTGGACTAGTAGTGCGGCCCTGGGTTACTCTTGTTTCCTTTGTACTCTTGCTGAGTGGTTTTCAGACCCTCGTCTCAGAGGTGGCACACCTTGAGCTGCGTGTCTTGTGCTATTTATTGCCCCTTGTCTAGTCTAGGGGGTGTGTCAACATATAATTGTACATGTTATAGTCTAGATAGGTGCA